CTTCATTGTACTGCTGTCTCTCCTAGACAGTCAGGAAATGTGGGTCATCAGGTCATCAGAAGGGAATTCTTGAGCTTGAGAGCTGACTGTTGTACAGTGTTGCCAGAGGTCCAAAGACCACCTAATACAGCTAAGGACCATTGATTTAGAGCTCTCCTTTGAGTGTAGTATGTTAGTGAAGAAAATAAAGAAAAAGGGATGGTAGAACACAGTCTGTTCCAAGTTCTTGAAACTTGTGGATTAATTCACATGACATTTTGATTTTATATACCGGTATATGTGGTTATTTTCCAGAAGAGGCTTTCCTATGGGCAATAATGCTTTTGAGCCAGGTGAGGAATTGAGACCCTTCTCCACCAGTTAATGCAGTGCTAAGCAGTCATTGGAAGTCAGGACCATTTATGGACATAGGGACTATAGATTCATGAATGAAGACTATTAGAGCAGTCTAATAAGACAGTATGAATGGTAGCTGGGAAAAAGCTTGTCTAGACAGAGGCCATGGAAAAATTAGCATGTACTTCATGTTTAATTTTAAAAAGAACAATAATTGAACTGTTTTATTAACATGAGTGGTGTATATGCTGCCATAAATTTATTTGAAGAAGACAAAGCAGTAAATGAAATCTTCTGACAACTTCCCTCTAAAACAAAGCAAGACATAACAGATTCAGTGCATAACAATCCCCTCCATTCATCTTTTTGCAATGTGTTGCAGTGATTCAGTCCCTCCTCCTTTTTTCACCCACTTCTGATGAGGAGGACCATTCTATGAATTATAAAGCATGCTGCATTGTTGTTCTGCAATGTTTTCTCTCCTGAACAGGCATTGTGCTTTTGCAGTTGTTGTTAAAATGTATACAATTGTTGTAGATAAATCACTTTTTCTAATAACACACTGAGTGGTGAATCAAATTGTCTTTGGGAACCTGAATTTTGTGGAATATGTGCATGCATACATACAACAGCTGCCAAGAAAAGGTCAGCCATGTGAAAACTGAACAAGCTTAGTAAATATCAATTGTAAAACAAAAAACTAAAGAGTGGACCAGTTTCCTGGAGTTGAGAATGTCTACATGAAACACTGAATGAGAGCCCTCAGCTTTACAACAGGACCCACTTGTATATGTCTAAATGTAGGACAAATAACTTTGCATTTGAATTGAAAGAATAATTAAGCAGGAGGAGGGTGTCACTGCAACTCAGTCTAAGCACCACATGCAGCATGCACAGTCTTTAACATTCCTCCCCCTTTCTCGCTGTCCTAAGGAAGCAAACATTTGAAAAAACAAAAGTACCATGTTCAGATTGCTTCTATTCCCCCCTTCTTTTTTTCCCAAACATAGTTTCTAAAACCGCCAAGTTGTATGCTGAACAGTTGCTGGTATAGTTCAAATTTAATGCTGCAGGTGTCTGATTGCCATTCTTTGTTGTTGTTGTTGTTGTTGTTGTCGTCGTCGTCATCATCATCATCATTTCCTGTTTTCAGAGCGCACTACAGTTGAGACTCAAAGTGGCCATTGATGACATTGAGTCACATAGTACAGTCATGCTAATTCATGGTACTATTAAATTGTATTTTTAAAAGGAGAGTAAATATTTTGATGCCTTTGAAATATATGAAGATAGCATGTCTGAAAAACACACTGTGAGTGGCAGCTTAGAGGTAATTCAAAGACTTTTCAAACACCAAGCCATTTGCTAAGTTCTTAAAACAATGGTCCAGTTTAGAAATAATGTCAAATTACCATTTATTTTGTTAGACTACTTTTACCCTGCTCTTTTCTATCTTCTTCTCATCCTGTGCTACAGCTCCCTTCACTTACTGTGCTTTCTGTGTTTGATCTTCTTTGGAGCAGAGAGCACCTGGAAGCTGATAGTGTGCCTGTAATTGTGGTTTGTTTGCAAATATAAGTAGAGCACTCATTCAGTTAAATGGCAAGCTTTCAGCTGTTCTCATTGGACTGTTTTCTCTTGGCTAGCCACTTATGTCGTATAGATTTGCATATGAGGGTGACTTGCTCCCCTTGGGAGTGTGAATGGATAAAATTCCCTGAAGGAGAATTAGAGAAGTACAGTTCAGACAAGGCATAATATTCATATATAGCAAAGAGGGTGAGGGAGAAATGGGAATGTCTTCTCAATGTCTTTTGGGTGTTTTTAGCTTCAGCTTCCATTATCATTTGCTGTTGGTCTCTCCCCATTGTTTGTGTTAGCTGGGACTGATAGGAGTTGCAGTTGAAAACATCTGAAGGTGTCCAGGTTAGCTTGCTGCATTATAATATGTGTTCTCTCTTCCTTTGGTTATTTGTTATTGGAGTTGTGTCAAGTTGAGTTCATGTCTGGAATGTCTCCATGTGGTAGCTGTTTGGAATAGAGAAGTGTTAGCAACGTGCTCAAGTTTTGCTGGGTATTGAACAGTGGTCTCAATCTTTGGTCCTCCAGATGTTTTGGATTTCAGCTCCCAGAATCCACGACTGTTGGCTAAGCTGGCTGGTGTTTCTGAGAGGTGAAGTCCAAAACACCTGAAGGGCCAAAGGTTGGGAACCATTGGTGTAAGACAGGGGTCAGCAACATTTTCTTACCTGGGGCCGGTAAGGTCTTCCTCCGGTCTTCTGCGGGCCGAGGGGGGGAGGGGGAAATGGTGCTGTGCGCACACATGCGCAGTACTCCAGAAGTACTGCGCATGTGCGAGCGAGTTGCAGCTGCCATTTTGGAAAACAAAATGGCAGCTGCAACTCATTTGCGCATGCGCCGAGTACTGCGCATGCGTGAGCGAGTCATGGCCGCCATTTTGGAAAACAAAATGGCAGCCAGGGTGGGGTTGGGCGGTGGCGGTGGTGTCAGGACCGGCCTGGAGCCGGTCCAAAGGCCTCAGGGGGCCAGATCCGTCCCTTGGGCCATAGGTTGCTGACCCCTGGTGTAAGAGATTGGAAGTTATTGCTTTCACCTGCTTTTATGCATAATTGTTTTGTTGATTTGTACCCTGACCTGAGATGTATTGATATAGAGTAGGGGTGGGAGAATGGGGGACAGGACGTTTCAGGCTCAATATATGGTCATATATGATCATCCTTGAATACCATTTTAGGAGAAAGGTGGGATAGAAGTCCAATAAATACAATAAAGAAAAAGGAAGGTGGCAGAAGGTTAGTACAGGTTTCTGTGTTCATACATTATGTGTGTGATTAATGCAATTCTGTGCTTTGTGTGAGTATGCCAACTTGTTTGGTTTACTAGTGTGACTTGAATTAGAGGAATCAGAGCTAAAGCTAGACCCAAAGTCTCAGAATACTGAGGTATTGAGAGGTACATTTCAAGAAATATCACTTGGTAGGAAATAGTTGTAAGCTTATTAGTAATAGTGGTAATAAGATTACCATTGTGTTAGGAAAATAAAATAATTAGTGTTTAAAGACAGTTGTGTCTGATAGAGTTAATGCAAAATTAGATTTCTGAAAGGCAGACAGGATTTTCTGAAAAATACATAGGAGTGGTGGAAGCTCTGTAGTTGACTTGGAATTCCAAGATATATGCAAACTTTAGAAGCAGTGCTAGCAGAATGAGAGAATGGATGGGAACTAATGTGAATTGCCTCAGGCTCTTGTGGCTATAGCCAGGATCAAGAAATACTTGCAGAACGTTTCCATAGGTGCATATGGAGACAGCTAATTTTCTCTCCCAGCTTTAGTCCCTAGCACCATATTGAATTATGCTTTCATTGGCATCCTGACTCTAAGGTGCAGATTGCTTTTGTGAATCATAAGGGGCTTCAGTAGGAATGGGGCATTGGAAAAACCCCAAAGCACATGATCTGTCCTGTCTCTCACAAAGTCTTTGCCAACCCCAGCCTTTGAATTAAATGTTTTGTTTAGTAAGTTATTCTGCAACAATTGTGTAGTCCCAGTGCCCGTTAGTTACTGCTGTGGAATAAATTTCCATGCTTACCTTTTGGAGTTTGTTCTGTGATATGAACATGGCTTTGATATAGATTCCATCTTAAGTGTACAGTGTGTCTGCAACTTTGATTAAAATTATAAGAAGAGAAAAAGAAGGAAAGAAAGAAATGATACCATGATAATTTTTAAAATTATGATATTGGGGTCAAAACTCTTTCTTTCTGGATGTTGAACGTTAGGCACAGATATGTCCATTACAAATATACCAGAAGAGGTTTTTTTTCTGGAGGGTGTGTGCTTGTTAAAGGTTTCCTTTATAGATCTCCAGTGATCTAAATGCTTAAAAAGTTTTTTTAAAAAAAAAGATTTGTATATAGGTTTTTCCTATTTCTATCATACTGAAGTAGGAATGGGAAAGTAAACCACTCCAGGCATTTGGCTGTCAGTGACAGAGCAGGTTTTAAGGAACAAACAAGAATGGAAAATGTGGTGGCCCCATGTGTGTTGTTCCTACAGAATGGGGAAATAGTGCCTGTAATTCAGTTAAAAAGCTGCTAGTTAGAGTTAAGCTTTCACTTCCCTTGATTTTAGCTCTTCACTTGAACAGAATTCAGATACAACAGTTTTTGATTCATCAACAGTCTTTTCAATTAAATTGTGAGTGGAAAGAAAGTCAGTCCTTCGTATATTGTGATATGTATTTGAGCATTTACTGAGTATTCTAAATTCTAAAATAATAATAATAATTTGTAATTGATATCTGTGTCATTACAGTGAACCAAGTGCAGGAATCTCTTGTTAGAAACTAAGACTAATATATTTGAATTTGCTTTTGGATTAAGAATTAATTTTGATAGGCTACAGCCCTAGTTGGCTTTATCTTAAGTTGTTGCAGACATTCAACCTTGTATCCTACATTGAAATGTCTGTGTTAGCATTGTTATTGCTATTGTTCTGTGCCTTCAAGTTGTTTCCACCGTATGGTTACCTTAAGGCCATTGTGGGGTTCTCTTGGTGAGATTTGTTCAGAGAGGCTTTGCCATTGCCTTGGCCTGGGGCTGAGAAGGTGTGATTTGCCCAAGAACACACAGTGGGATTCTATAGCCAAGCAGGGAATCGAACCTTGATCTCCAGAGTTGCAGTCTAACACTCAGACCACTAGACCACCCTGCCTCTCTTTACCTTTCTGCAGTTGTGGCAGTTTTTGGAATGACAGTGTGTAAGTGAACAAGTATATAAGTAAAGAAATCTTAATGGAATGTAAATTTTGTATGTTTTTAATTGTAATATTTTAATGCGTAAGCTGCCTTGAGTACCAGTCTTGGGGAAAAGGTGCACAGTGTTAACAACAACAACAACAACAACAAGATCACAGTCATCTGAGGGTAGAGAGCAAGACCACTTTCACTTGCCCCACCTGGGAGTGGGAGTTACGTGACCATCCAGAGGTTGTTGGATCACAATTCCCATTGGCTAGTCTGCCATTCCATGCCATCTGGGTGGGGGGCATGTGATTTCTACTCCAACTCTTTATTGTGGAACTGACAGTCTGAAGTGGAACGCTGTTTTGGTTTCTTACATGACTTGAATCCTGGATTGTTGTGGGATATACTAGGATTCATACCAGAGACTCTTTGTTATTACCACTAGCATTCAGTAGAAGAATAAATAAAGCAACATTTCCTCTTGAGCATTAGGAAAATACTGTCCATTCTAGCTGTCTGGGTTATATGGAGAGAAATGATCCTGCAAGTATCCTGACAATAAATTGTGATGATTTTAAATACTTTATTTTAAATTGGGCTGGGAATTTGACCAGGAGTCAGAACTGTTAGGAAAGCACTAGCATTATATACCAAGTTAGCACTGTAGTAGCCATATTTTGAATTAACTGCAGTTTCGGAGCACCCTTCATATAACACATTGCAGTACAATGGGCCCTTGTCATCCACTGGGGTTGGTTCCAGGACCTCTCCTGGATAACAAAATCCGCAGATGCTCAAGTCCCATTAGATACAATGGCATAGTAAAATGGTCTCCCTTATATAAAATAGAAAATCCAGATTTGCTATTTGGAATTTATACTTTTTAAAAAATATATTTTCAAGCCATGGATGCTTGAATCTGTGGATAAAAAATCTGTGGATAAGGAGGGCCAACTGTACTCTAATCTGGGTTTCTCAAAGTGTGTGGCTTTTTGAGGTCTGCCTTCTCTTTGCAGCTAGGGATACAGTTGGTGAACTATTCTAAGCAAGTTGGCCCTCTGTACCTCAGTGGATATCTGTGTCTCCTGTAACAGAACTGATGCCAAAAGCATCCCTAAATGGCACAGTGATCTTTCACATTCCCCTTCCAGACATGATGACTATAATTCATCCAGGCAGATGAACTATTGACTATGAGCAACAGTTTATTGGATTTTCATCCAGTCCATAACCATGCTCATCCATCAGTTAGTCTTTATCTGCCTCACTTGAATTATTATTATTATTATTATTATTATTATTATTATTATTATTATTCCACCTCTCTGTAGAGAAATAGCATTCTTCCTATCTGCATATTCATGAACCTGACTCTGAATCTTTAGGTGGCTTCCTGAAGTGGTTTAAGCAATGTAAATCAGGAGTGGGCAAAGTGCAGACCTCCAGATATTGCTGGCTTTAGACACCTATCATTCTTTGCCTTCACCATTCCCACCCTAGGGCAGATGAGAGTTTCATTACAGCAACTTCTGGAGGGCTGCACTTTGCCCTCGATACCTGTAGCATACATGTCATGCGGTAGTTGCCCAGCACTAATTTTTGAAATCCCAAGATGCAGTTGAACCACCATAAAACTGTTCCCCCACTTTCTAATCTGGACTACCTGTCTAGAAATATACAATGGTCAATGGTATTACAAGCCACTGAAAGGTCTGGAAGAATAAACAGGATCTCACAACCTCATCTTTCTGCCTTTGCATTGGTTATTTGCAAAGCACATGCCATCTAATTACCATTTCTTGTCTGACGCAGAAAAGATACAAATAGCAGATCTCTTTAGTAAAATAAGAGAAAAGATTTCTAGTGGGAACATGGCATGATTCAATCAGTGAGAGTTCAATCAGTCCTGAACTCAGCATGACCAGAGGATTTTTTTATTTTTTTTTTAGGGAAAAATAATACTAAGAATATGTTGTAAATTAATAACCCTGAGGCATGGTAAAATTCAGTACAGGATTTGTTTTAAAAATATACTAAAAGAATGAAAACTTCTAGTTGGGAAAAATAATTCTTTGTTGAGGGGGAGGTATTATTTCACCATTCACTTCTAGAAAAGAAATTTGGTCTCCTGTTCAATAAAAATGATTAATAAGCCACAGCTTTGTTTATTCTTTTTAAACATATAGGTCTAGAAAGCATGAAGTCCAGAATTATATTTTAATTAAATTTTTAAAGAATAATTGAATGTTCATCTCATTCATGTTATGGGATTCATTTTTTTTTTAGCTTGTTCCCCAAGAAATGTTGCATTTGCATATCTAGTGAATAAGTTTCTATGTGCCTTTACAACTTAACTTTTAAGAAACAGATCAAGATGTCAACAATTTTTACAATTCACCATTTCAGCCAAATTGTTACCTAAGGCCAAGAAGCCTTACTTAGAGAGATCCTATGGACATGTTTCTCTTTAATTTCTTTTATTTCTGATGAAGATGATGATGATGATGATGATTAGAACCAACGGAAGCTATTGGCTGTGTGATTTTTTTCATTCCTTCTTAAATTTAATAGGTTTCTAAAGGCGTTCATGCTTGCTGTGTTGATAAGACTTAACTCCCACTGTAGCCTGAGGTGAATGGTTAATATGCAGCAATTTTGAGTTACAGATCTGTTTGCTCCTAAAGTCAACTATGGCCCTACCATCGTTCAGATAGCGTTATCGTGAGGCTGTCAGCTTTTAAATACTTAGGAGAGAGCTCTTATAACTGTTTCCATGGTGATAGCAAGAAGGCAACATGGTAGTTTCATCTATATCAGTATTTGGCTAGATCCTTTTATAGTAATTTAACTGTGAAAATGTGGTACCATTCTCCAGCCAGGTTACATTTCTTTGATCTGTACCATAATAAATGGAGGGTACAATTAATATTTCCCTCTATAAATGAAAATGGACTTGAACATTAAATACAGCAGGCCTAGTGTGTTCATGCTTCTCCCTTTTAGTTTAATGTTCATTGACTTATTTCTGTATAGATTTGCTTTGAAATTATCAACCCACTATTAGGCTTTCATGTCACTTTCCTTCTCTAGTATTACTTCTATTCATGGTATAGTTAAGTATGCCTGCAATCACGGTAATTGCCAAGCCATCTGAGACGTTGACATAGAAATGGACTTCCACTTTTCTCCCTTCTGTGTTTCTTTAGGCCCCTTGCCTGATTGAGCAGATATATAGACCTTTTGGAAGAATCTTCGCATGTTAAGAAAATAGCATGTCTTATCTTTTCTAAGTTTGCTTCTGTAGCTAATTAATTTCATTTGACATCCATTCTACTCATTGCTTATGTGCACTTTCTCTAAACAGCCATTCTGAATATGAGCAGAATTCCTGCAGTTAGTTACAGACCGCTTTCTTGGTTGCGTTGTGAAATACCATATTTGCTAAGGATACTGAAATACAGTAAAGTTTAATTTGATTATAATGGGATGCACCCAGTTCTGGACATGTGCTTGTGCAAGAGACAAACCCAGCATGGAGGGAGCAATCTCTCCTAACTGCAGCCACCCCACGACCTAACAATTTTCTCCACAAGAAGATAAATCTTCTGGACTGTGTTTTCAGTGCCAGGGAAGGCAGCAGGTGGAAAGGTAACAAAGTCCTGCCATTACTGTAAGTCTCAGATTTAGGACATTAAAGTGAGATTCTCATCTCTTTTCCAATTTAATCCAGTTTCCAACAACCACCAAAACAGGGTTTCAGAATGATCCTCAGTGTTAGTGAAGTGTCTTACAAGGAAGAGGAACCGCAGGAGCCATTTCAGAAGGCCAGTGAACTGAACTTTGCAATTTGATCTTGGGGCGTAGATATTGTCTTGATGAAGGCAAGCATACAGTGGTACCTCTACTTACGAAATTAATCCGTTCCACAGCC